CGCACAAAAAACAAATAGTTTCTGTGAGAGGAACATTTATAAGAAGAGAAGTGACATCTAATGAGAATATTTTCTTACCAATTACGTTGATATTTCTAATTGTGTTGACAAACTCAAAGGAATCAAGAGAGTTGTATTTACTGATATGACTTTTAACAGATTGTAAAATGTTAACCAAGCATTTAGCAATCAAGTGATAAGGACAGTCGTTCGCATCAAGAATAGAACGTGGAGGCACATTATTCTCATGAACGTTTGCGAGTCTATATAGTCTTGATATAACGGAACCCGATGGTTTGAGATGTTCATAGAGGTCACAATAGATAATAAACTCATCTTTCAGCTTCCTCTTCTCCTTTGACCTTCAGGATTTAATGTGAGGGCTTGTCTTGTGACACAATTGGGTGATTTCCTCAAGGTGTGCCCAATCCACTTCCAGCGCTTCTTCCTGATTTCTTCCTCCGCTGGAATCTGATTTGTTCTCTCTCACAGTAACTTGTTGCTGATAGTGTCTGGCCATCTGATCCGAAGTATCTTGCGTAGACAGCTGTTGATAAACACTTGTATCTTCTGGATAATGGCTTTCGTAGTTCTCCACGTTTCCGCCCCATACAGTAGAAGTGTCTTGACATTTGTATTGAAAATTCTAACATTGGTTTTGTTTGACAATTGTTTTGAGTTACAGATGTTCTTCAATTGAAGATATACTGCCCTTGCTTTGCCGATCCTCGCCCTCACATCTGCATCTGATCCACCGTGTTCATCAATGATGCTGCCCAGATATGTAAAGGTTTCCACATCTTCAAAAGCTTCTCCGTCAAGTGTAATTTGATTGGTGCATATTGTATTGTATCGGAGAGTCTTGCTTTTCCCTTTGTTTATATTGAAACCTACTGCTGCTGAGGCTGCTGCTACACTGGTCGTTTTCTCTTGCATTTGTTGTTGCGTTTGTGATAGAAGAGCCAGATCATCCGCGAAGTCTAGATCGTCAAGTTGCATCCTGCCTGTCCACTGTATCCCGTGATTTCCTCTAAATGTTGACGTCTTCATAATCCAGTCGATCACCAGGAGAAAGAGAAAGGGTGAGAGTAAGCAACCTTGTCTAACACCGGTCTTCACCTCGAATGAGTCGGTGAGTTGTCCTCCGTGGACGATTTGGCAGTTTAGTCCATCATAGGAGTTGCGTATGATATTGACTACCTTCTCAGGCACGCCGTAGTGTCGAAGAAGCCTCCATAGTGTTGTCCTGTCCACGCTATCAAATGCCTTCTCGTAGTCAATGAAGTTGATGTACGGTAATGAATTCCATTCGATTGATCAGAAGTCCTTTTTTCCAGTCTGCTGGTACTTGTTCTTCGTCCCAAATCTTACTGAAGAGGATGTGGAGTATCTTGGCAGTTGCTGCTACATTTGCTTTCAGTGCCTCCGCCGGGATGTTGTCTGGTCCTGCTGCTTTGTCGCTCTTGATTTGTTTGATGACTGTGCTGATCTCTTCAATTGTTGGTGGGCCAATATCGATTGGGAGGTCTGTGGGTGCTGCTTCGATGTTGGGTGGGTTCAGTGGGGCTGGTCGATTCAATAGTTCTTTGAAGTGTTCTACCCACCTGTTTCGTTGTTCTTCAATGTCGATGATTACCTTGCCTTCCTCGCATTTCACTGGTCTTTCTGGCTTACGGTAATTTCCAGCAAGTTTCTTGGTTGTATCATACAGTTGTCTCATGTTTCCCTCTCTTGCAGCCTTTTCCGCTGTCATCGATAAATCTTCCACATATTTACGTTTGTCGGTTCTAATGCTCCTCTTCACTTGATCGTTTGCTTCTGTATATTCAGCTTGTGCCTTGGCTTTTTCTGCTCTTGTTCGGCTGATATTGATTACTGCCTTCTTGTTCCTCCTTTCTTCAATTTTATCCAGTGTACCAACAGTGATCCATTCCTTGTGATGGTGCTTCTTTTGGCCCAGAACCTCTTGACATGTTGAAACAATTTCCTCTTTGATACCTTTCCAGTTGCTCTCCATGGTAGTCCCCTCTCCATTGAGTAGATCATGAAAGGCCTGGGACCTGTTGCTGAGGGCTATGTTGAATTTGTTGAGTTTGTCAGCATCTCGAAGAAAGGCCGTATTAAACTTTTGTGATGTTGTCCGCGCCGTTGTCCAGTGCTTCTTAAGTTTTAGTTTGATCTTGGCGACTAGCAAATGATGATCGGATGGTATGTCAGCTCCTCTTCTGGTTCTCACATCCTCCATCGTCCTCCTGAACTTTTTGTTGATGCAGATATGGTCGATTTGGTTCTGTGTAGTGTGATCCGGTGAAGTCCATGTGGTTTTGTGTATGCATTTGTGTGGGAATATGGTGCCACTTATGACCAGTTTATTGAAGGCAAATAGTCTTCTTATTACATTATCGAAGGCAAATAGGTTTGCAAATCTCTCACCATTTTCGTTCCTTTCTCCCAGTCCATGTTGTCCCATGACGTCTTCGTATCCAGTGTTGTCAATTCCAACCTTGGCATTGAAATCTCCCATCAGAATGGTCAGGTCTTTGGTTGGGCACTTCTCGAAGATCGACTGCAGCCTATCGTGGAATTGGTCTTTAGCGTCTTCATCGTAGTCATTGGTAGGCGCATAGCATTGAATGACATTCATTGTAATGCCCTCTCTCTTTGTTTTGAAGGAGGCTTTGATGATCCTTGCTCCATGAGATTCCCATCCAATAAGTGCATTTTGTGCTTTTCTGGACAGCATCAATGCAACTCCTTGTGTATGTGGGGCATTTTCTTCTTCATGACCGGAGTATAACAGAAGTTCCCCTGAAGATAGTCGTTGTTGTCCAACCTGCTTCCAATGTGTTTCACTGATTCCGAGCACCTCCAAATTGTATCTTTTCATTTCTGCGGCAATTTGGAAGACTCTTCCAGTTTCCCACATTGTTCGGACATTCCATGTACCTATAAAAATCGTTGCTCTGGTTGTAAGAAGGTGCATCGGCCTCATGACTTCCGAATGAACTCGGCTTTCATCATGAGACGTCATAATTATTCCTTCTACTCCTAGGGGAGAGTTTAAATGGTTTGAATAATTTTTTCTGGTTAACGTTTTTATAGCGAGTTGATTTTCTACGGGAAGGGGTCGCTAACCCCATGCCCAACCCTTCTCCTTTACCCGGGCTTGGGACCGGCAGTAACCCCCGGAGGAGCTTCAGATGGAGTTTGTTTTCAATATAGCCACATGAAAAACAAATAGTTTCTGTGAGAGGAACATTTATAAGAAGAGAAGTGACATCTAATGAGAATATTTTCTTACCAATTACGTTGATATTTCTAATTGTGTTGACAAACTCAAAGGAATCAAGAGAGTTGTATTTACTGATATGACTTTTAACAGATTGTAAAATGTTAACCAAGCATTTAGCAATCAAGTGATAAGGACAGTCGTTCGCATCAAGAATAGAACGTGGAGGCACATTATTCTCATGAACGTTTGCGAGTCTATATAGTCTTGATATAACGGAACCCGATGGTTTGAGATGTTTATAGAGGTCACAATGGATAATAAACTCATCTTTTTTATCTTCATTAGGATTTTAAGTAGCATCTGTTCCGATTTATTAAGTTGTGTCATTATGAACGGTTTCGGATAATATCGAAGATATTTTGGAGATATAGTCAGATAATTGAGATTTATGTTCTTTTGTGAGTAATCGACTAATTGTTGGTGTTTTATTTACAACAGTCTACAAGAGTTGTTTTGAAATGCTCATAATCTTTATTTGATACTGGAATAGTGTGATTTGTCTGACGAATGAGGCTTTCAAACGGGATTTTAGCGTTGAGATTATTAAGGTTAGCAGATGTACTACAAAATATAGGACCAAGGAAGAAGGCTTGTAGCGGAATGGTTGATAGTGTTATACTTGAGTAATTGAAAACATATTTCTCTGAAGATTGAGGAAAAAAGCTTGCGTCTGGGTCTGTTTTAAGCATTTCATTAATTTCAAGATCACATCTTCCGTACGAATTTCTAACAATATCAATGTAATATTCACGTTTGTCTATACAACTTCTCAGAAAATTGATTCTGTTATTCGCTATGACAAACTTGTTATTTGTTCTCGAATCAATTTCTGATGCAATCTTTCCTAGCCACCTACAGACATATATTTTCCATATAACTATATATCCGATTGTAAAGCTTAAGTACATGATTTTGTCGAGAAGAAAATTTTCTTCGCTCATTTCTCTTTCTCTTATTAAAAGAGCTTGTCAATTTATTCGAACTATGGAAAATTAAAGCGACCTATAAATTCGTATCAGACATCATTTTTTAATCCCAATTGGCAAAAATTGAAGACAAGTTTCAATCAAACGGTTATTGCTATCATATATCATATTTGATACACGAATTCTAGTTTAATAGCCTCTCATTTCTCTAAAAGATAAATAACGAAAATCAGTTGACCATAATAGAAGTCGCACTGCTGTTTTGAACCATCTGGATATATGATGGATTGCAAGAATTTTTTCAAAGTATGAGACCACACAAGACTGTTAGCACACATAGTGAATCAAAATAATTATAAGACAGGAAATTTTATTTCAATATTCATACTACTGAAATTATGCAAATTATTAAGTACATTATTATGTGTACACAAAATTAGATAGTTATTACTAAGATCAACACATATAAGCTAACAGTATTGTATTGAGTTGGATCCCTAACAGGCTTCATTCTAATATACAGTGATATTATTAAGCATACGTAAACATATCAATGTAATCAAGGCAGTTGATGAGTTAACGATAACAATGAAATGGATTATATGGATAAACATAACAATGTGGTGACAAGTGTACTAATTGTAATAATGATAAGAAGAACAAACCCTTGAATCAATGTTTCATAGTCAAATGTAGGTGAACGAGTTTGAAAAACAGACAGTGAACGAACACTTAATAAGAAATTATTCCAGTGATTGAAATGAGAATGAGAATCTAAATTCTTAATTTCGATGGAAGATTGTTTTAAAAACCTGCGAAATATTTTTAAACGTTTTCAAAGCTTCAATTCCCATTGGTTTTAAAAATATAAACAAACTAATTGAATGTAACATAAATGTAATTGAACGTAATATTTCTAAACAATGATGGGATATATCACACATCATTTCATATTCTATATACGCTTCACATACATGCTGAAACATATCAAGTAATGTAATTAGAATTTCTGGTAAACACCAAACAATTATCAATAAGGTCAAGTATTTTTGTACTGGTTTAATTTGAGCTTGATCTCTTACATTAACTTTCCTTTTATATTGATGTAATATTACTAATATTAATATGATGATCATCACTATGAATGGGATAATGTCACCAAGTATCAATGAAACATAACCGAAAATAACCAAATCTAATCGATCAATGCTACTGATTAACATATTAGAATTGATTACACAATGACCAATTTGATCTATTTTCACTAACAGTATTAAATATAAATTAGTGACTATGTTATATGCTACTGAGAAACAATATATTCCACCTAATAATTTAGGATAATTTAACAAATTTACATTCGGCTTATAAATGGATAAACAATGTTCAATGATGATAGCAAGAATGGATTGTTTAGTGAATGTATTAAATAGATTATTTAAAAATTCATTTGTCCATATGTGGCAAATTAAAATATTGATCCACATTTGTGGTGTAATTCGAAGAAATGGGCAAAATTTATTCCCGATTTGTGATACACAAACAAGTGTATCAAATGTTATTTGAATCATAATTAGAAAACTTACTAATGAAGATGATAAATAGATTTGAAAAACCAAGAACAATGTAAACGGATTCATAAAGATTATGCAACATGAAAATAGAATGATGACAACATCCATTTGAGTAGTAATATCAGTAGTATTTTCATATTGATAAACAAATCCACTTTGGTAATCACACATTGATTTTGATTTTTAAAGAGAACAAATTACTCAATTGATTGTTTTCTCTTGTTTTATTAAAGATGAGTATAAAGGTTATTTTGTTAGTTCAAAGGAAAGGAAAATAATATTCTGTAAATACGTGTGATAGGATGGTATGAATTTTGATTCTCTGTTAGTTTTTATTTTATTTGTCATCCAATACGTTTTTAGTTGATAATTATTTATTGAATGTTCCTATTCATTGGTGGAATATCACTATAATAATACCTTAATGGATTGTTTTCATTTCCGTACTGGTTTGACTTTTATTGATACCTGTAGAAGGAATTATATATATACATATATGGTCGAAGTACTTTTAATGAAACGTTTTGCAATGACGTGGAGTCAGATAGAAACTAACTGAAAATCAGAGAGTAAATGATAGATTTTTTGTTGTTGTTTGAGAATATGTGATGAGGAGCATCAATGAACTGGACGGAGATCAAATGTAGGGTTTTCATGTCTTACAATGAGAACATTACCATCATATCACTGATTTGGAATTCACTGACCTTCCTTTCTTGTATATGTCAGTATTTTTTTTTATTTTGCGATTAAGATACTTCTTTCCATTCACTAAATTACTTTTACTGTTCAGATTTTTAGTTTCTGATTTATGTTATTCATTACAGGATGAATTCAAGGATGTCTTCAAGAGTTCTCGCAGTTTTGTTTTAAGTAATGAAAGAATTACCACGAATTTTTCTTTTTAATGTAAATGTGACTGAACTATGAATGTAATTTCTTATTAACAATTTCGAAGCAACATTTTCTTTGTCTTCTCATTCCTAGTGTTGAAATCTACTGAACATTCAGTAGCTTAACGGAATCGAATGTATTTTGTTGACTGGAGTTTCTTTCCCGAAATTTATTTGTTTATTAGGCTCCCTTGTCATAGTTGTAGCTTTTATATAGTTGACTGATTTGAATTCTTGGTAATTTTCTTGAAAATGTTTGGATTCGTTTTCCGATATGTCTGAGTTGGACAGAAGGTTTAATCTCTTTCTATCGGACTAAGCTTCAATTCGTAGTGGAAGTAATCAGCTAATAGTTGTTATCATTAATTCGGTAATTCTATCAGCTTTTCTATAGAGTTATATGTCACCATAAAAATACCTTAATGAATTTTTTTCATTTCCTTACTCGTTCGTATTTTATTGATACCTTGCGAAGGAATTGTATATACGTGGTTGAAGTACTTCTACTGTAAATGTTTGTCATGACCTTGAATCACCTGGAAACCAACTGAAAATCAGAGAGTGAATGATAGATGTTTCTTTGTAGTTTGAGAATATGACTATTTCAACTTCAAATATTGAATATTATATGACTTCACATTTTTGCTTTTTAATCTCATAGTTTTCTTGTTCCTAGTTGTCCAGTGTTACCGTACATTTTTATATACATTCGCTTAGTGTAAGAATTCGGAGTAGTAATGCGGAAATTCGTTCATTTCGATCAGTGAAATCACTCAGGTAAGTGCCGTCTGATGAGTACCTTCAATAAATTGGTAATAACTTTTCCATAAACGTCATTTTACGTCAGAATTATTTTGCAGTTGTCTATTTTAGCTACTGATGTTTCTTTAAGTAGTAGTTATACTTCAGTAAAGGTATTGAGCATAAAGTGTTTACCGAACTGTTATTAGATATTACAAGTTCAAATATGTTGTCCTACTAAGATAATGAGCAATAATTCGGTAAAAAAAAACTCCTCACCCTCTATAGATCATGAGATAAGATAGTGCTTTTTCGTTTTGCAATATTGATTATATGTAATGTGTACAATATATGTTATAATACACAAAACCGATTAAACACTGAGTAGTGACCAATATCTTGTTTGTTTACACTGAAAATCTCAGTGATAATGTATCAGATTGTAAAACTGGGTAAAAAGGAATGAAATCCCTAATATATTACCGTTTCCCTCAGAATTATAGATACATCTTGTTCATGGGTCTCAGATTGAACGAAAGCTGGTCCAAGGTTTCTGACAAACTATATGTGGTTTTTTCAAGTGAGAATGCAGCATAAGTATCTTTCTATTTTAACTATCAATTTAATGTGCATAGCAGCATACTGAGCTCATTAACATTACAATCGAGCTACAAGTGATGTAACTGATATCTATTGATCAGCTACGAATCAACTTTAGTCTTATCCACGTTAGTAGCAAATGTCGCTTAAGCTATCCTGAGCTTGACTAGCCAGAAACGCGAGAAAGTAGTCCAGTATATAAGTAGTTACTCAGATAGGTGGTGGAATCCCTGAGATTCGCGTTACGATTACACAGTATCTATTATAAAGTGTTTATATATCGTCGAATCCTAGTGTATAACTCATTAACACTTAATACAAAACGGGTTGACTGGCAAAAAATGAGCCTGGAAAAGCCCCAGTTTTTCAGATAATAGCAACTCTGTTATTACCTATACCCTATGATCTGCAACTCATTTCGAATCAAATAATGTTGGGAGTGAACTTACACCACACCTGCTGCTGGATGACTCAGTCTCTAATAATCAGTTGCACCTCGAGATCAAAAAGTATTGATAATATTAAGAGTTAGACACTATCTATAAGGAAATAAGCTATATGCGTTTTAAAGTGGAGTTACTTGCGGGCTCTCTATCAAAGCATGATGAACTGAAGCAAGAAATAAAGACACTATCACCCCTTAAATTGCTATTGTCAAAGGATGTAGTCCTTGCGGAACGTGAGGACAGTATCAAAGTAGAGTCTGTTGTAGATTTTATCGTTAGCAAAGTTACTAAGCGAATAATCCCCCGAAATAACGTGATTATCTATAACATACCTGACAAAACCTTCATTAAATCTTCAAGGAATTCTATATTAAGGACAGCTAACCTCCAAGACAGTCCATGCCAATGTATTTGACTTAATAAAAAAGCACCAGAAGTACTCATGCCCTGTCTTGTTTAGATTCGTTTCCCATTTATTGGCTAAACAGATGAAAGAATCCGAACGGCTAATCTGAGCGCTTAAGAAGTTTAGAAACGCTCGTATAATCTCAGATAAGACCACCAACCAAAGACTTAAGCAAAAGCGTACCGTAAACGAAAATAACGATGTTCAGATCACAACAAATCATTTTGCCTCAGCAGCTGGACCCACTGGTGCAGTCAACCTATCTCATGTTAGCCAGTACACCGATTTAACAATGAAGAGTGCTAATTTGCCGCTTATGCATGTAGTGACCTCAGATAACCAATGTATATCTAATGGAGAATTTAATCCGATATTATCTAGTGCAACATTAGAAGCCCATAACCAAATAACTAGTTCTAATGTGAAGGCTCTTAAAAACACTGTTAAAATTATAAAGTCTATATCAGGTAAGAAGAAAGTATAAACAGAACCTTCTAGTATCAGACCTTATACCAAAAATATTATGATGGCCCTACCAGACAAAAATATACTTCCGGGCACCATGCTTTACCCTACTCATCGTAGGGAAGGTTATAAAGGTATACTTCGTTCAAATATCGCACAAGACGGCCACTAAAACTATTGTGTAAACAGGCCTAATATTAGACAGACCTCAGTGAACCAACCTGTCTCATGGTTACCTTCAAAAGTTTCAAGTATTGAACCTGTAAGTTGTAACTCTTCTCATCACTTTCCCAATGGGCAAGATGGACCACTAGGTTACGCACTGTCAACTCAACCCCAACTATCAGGTGCCTGTCTTAATTGTCCACCAAGTCAACTTCAAAAAATTAATCCACCTTATCAGAAGAACGATTTTTCGGCCTCCACAAATCCTTGGTCCCACTAGCAATACAGTTTGCTCAAGCTATAGTCCATGCGATCAGTGAAACATATTAAACGATAGTCCAGGCAAATTTAAAACACATATCATCGATAGGGAAGCTCTCTTTGTTTTTACACTCCATACTCCCTTTTTAAACTTATTGCTTATCAATGCACGTTCACTTCTGAACACAATTTCAGCCTTGAGAACCTTAGCTTTTCTAACCAAGCCTTTTTTCATACTTATCCCTGAAACATGGTGCTCTCAAGCAGTATCTGATTCAGAATTAAATATCCAGAAATACCGACTCTGTCGCTGTGACAGAGAAATTAAGCGAGGAGTTGGTTGTCTTATATATGCTTTGGATATCCTAACAACTAATAAAGTTGAAGATAGTGTCTTGAATAGTTCACCAGAATCGGTCTGGATATCAATCAACACCCTGAATCATAGTCTACTCCTAGGATGTGTATATGGATCTCCTGGTAGTTCGGATGATGGGAATGATCTAATTAATAATGCATTTATACATGCATCTGCTCTAAACTTCAGTGCTCTGGTTATCACCGAAGATATCAATTGTCCTGGAATTAACTGGAGTAACGGTAGTTGGGCACTACTGGTCACAGTGGGTTTGCACCCCGACAAGGAGTGATAATATACTTAACCTAATATTTAGTAGAGATATCATCCCCTATCTGTACAAGTATGCAACGAATTTGCAAGCAGTGATCATAAGATAGTAGCTTGTGCTCTTCCTATCAATCCCTCTTTTAACCGACTAATTCAAAAAACCTGCCAATATAGAGACTATAAGCATGCTGACTTGGGCGTCTTGCGTTCACTGATAAAACTCACAGACTAGAATGAATTTTTCTAATGTAATAATAACACTATCCCTGTTAAAAGTGGTGTAATATGAGGTAGTTTCTTAGGCCCTTTGCTCTTTATAGTTTTTATCAATGACACTTGTCAGTGTTTTGTGTGGGTAAGCCCCTTCTGTACTCAAATGGTCTTAAAGTAGTATATTCCTTTTCTCCACACGAGCTGAACGATATTCAAAATTGCATCAGCACGGAGCTCAACAAGGTAGCACAGTGGTTCTCAAAATGGCAGCTGGAGCTTAACACAGCTAACTGTGGGTGCATGTGCTTTGGTGATACATCATTCAACTTAGATCTTACCATAAATGGTGAAGT